TCCAAGATACCAAAGCTGTTCATAGCAGCAGCAGCACCGTCATTGCTGCTAACGACGATACTTCTGCCAAAACATCTGTTACTGGTCCTATATCAAATCAGCCAAATAATTTAGATCTTGCATTCCACAAGTCAAATGTGATGACCAAAAAAATTTGTTTTTGTTGAAAAATTAATGTGACACTCCAACATCTTTCGCTTTTCCTCCTACAGAAACTCGTGGTAAGAAAAGGGGCTTTAACCAATCTTGGCTTGATAAATATTAGTGGCTGAGGTATTCAGAAAATGGGGTGTATTGTTTAAACTGTTTTTTATTCAATAGTACTGATCATGCTTTTGCTAGGGATCCTTTAAACGACTTGGCAAATATGGATACTTTGATATAGCGCCATTTGGGACAACCTCCAGAAATCAAGTGTCTCAAAATTAGTGAAAACTTTATGTCAGTTGCTACAGGAAACAGAGAAGATTTATTGTCAGTGTTTAGTAGCTTATTTCAAAATAAAATTTCACGAAACATAACAGTTTGAAAAGTTTACTGAAGATTTATCTTTGTGGGATATAGAGCTGAAACTGGGCATTTACAAAACTTCCCGGAAGCCCATTGTGTGCACTACCATGCACATTGCTTAAATTTGACTGTTGTCAAATCATGCCAACTCTGTATTATCCGCAATACAGTTGATATCGTGAAGGATATTTCATTTGCTTTCGATTATTCTTCAAAAAGATCATGTAGGTTTAAAACAAGGCTAGAACGGGCCAACGAAGAGCAAGTAGAGGCTCTTGACGGGCGCAGAAAAATAAAAGTCATGTGCGTGACTCGATTGTCAAGTAGGCTGACGCTTTGAACAAATTCAAATCTGATCATGCTTTAATTGTTGACACGTTAGATGATTTATGGACAGACGGTGATAGAAATTCCAAGCAACTGAAACTGGCTATTCAAGTTTTTGGATTCATATTTACCCTGGATGTACAGAACATGTACTTCAGTACAATTTGGCCTGTTACAAAGGCCTGTTACAAAGGCCTTCCATTGACTTGGTAGAAGCCGAGTCTAAAGCTGAGACAGTTATTGCTAGCCTTCGTCGAATAAGGCAGGATAAAACCGTCAGGCAAGAGCTATATGTGGACATCCTTAAACTTGCAGAAAAGCAAAATGTACTACCGAGCAAACTAAGAACGGCAGGAAGACAACATCATGGGGATAATATGCTAGCTGAAGTACACTGAAATACACTCTAAAACCTGCAAAATCTGAATTGTATCCTAACATTTATAAAGTTGTGAAGGTTCTACTGACTATGACACTAACATCTGCTACTGCAGAGATATCATTCAGTACTCTAAGACGCATAAAAACCTACCTTCGATCAACGATTGTGAAGGAAAGACTCAATAGTCTGCCATTGATGCATGTCTATCCGGAAATTCAAATTGATCTTGACCAGGTCATTAACACTTTTGCCTTGGTTGGAAACAGGAAAATTAAACTTCTATTCCCTTACTAGTAGGTAGTAAGTTAGATGTAAAATTGCAGGAAAAGCAATAAAAGTTTAAAAAGAAAATATAAAAGACCACTAGAGACGTGTTCCAAGGGATTCTTTAATATACAAATTGTATGACACTCTCCTTCACATGGAACCTCCTTGCTACCGGTTTGCTAATTTGGTTTAAGTCCTGTTTCTTTATTGCACGACCCCTGTATACCTCCTGTGTATTTACACATCCCAAACACCAACTTTATTAAGTTTTTGTATCAGATATTGTTTCGATGGGTGTTTGCTTATTTAAGACATAAATTGTGATTCGTTACAATACCGAAACAGGTCCGCAATAAGTGGTGCTCAGTTAGTCCTCATTGGAATTCCCATTAGTTGTCGATAAACGGAATCTCCATAGCGACCAAAAATTTAATCAGTAAAAATATAAGGGCAAGTATCATATCAGAGCATGTCCATTGTCACATTTCTTTTGTTTGTTTTTACTAAAAAATTACCAAAAAGAGTTTGAACATATATGTTCATATTCTAACTTTTAAATACCCAGTTTGTAATTTTTTTCTTAATGAGATTGTGAGGCAAAGTGGTGTATAGGGTAGAAAAATCAAAACTTTGAACTGATTCGAAAACACCAATATGAGCATGCAATTTATCAAGTATTTCCAACGAATTTTTGACACTCCAAAAGTAAATTTACTCTTACTACAATATAAAATTAAAAGGTTATGACGTATTTTTTTTATATATATATATAATAAGCAATCCCTACACGAATTTTACAACACTCAAAACAAACGAAAGGTTCAATACAGTTATATATCAAGTCACTTGTTGTTTTGACATTCTTCCCAATTTTTCATACTCTGTCCTTGATTTCAAGTGGTTCAAAGTTATTATGTTTTCAAGCCAAGTATCTAGTTGTATGGCTTTCTAAACCGATTATTAATTCAATCAACTATTTGCTTTTTCAGGCTACAGAGATGTTAATCTTCATTATAACCTAAAACATAGGCCTGTAAATTTATGAACTTCTGCACCAATGGATTTATGCCATTTGAACATCGATAAACTACAATTGCCTCTAATTTAGTCCTCCATTGACGTGTTGTTCATAAAATATTAATTAGCACTATTCCTATAATGTTGTCCTTGTAAATTGCTAATGAAAAAAGAATTAATAAGATGAATTTAATATTTATCATAATAAACTTTATTTGAATGTCAAAATAAGAAGATGATATATGATTGCTTAAGGTTGCCCTTTGTAAATACAGCTGTTCACAAGCCATGCCTCTTTTGGGGAGGATATATAATATTCATCGATATGTTAATTTGTTAACGTACTGGTTCCCAGATATGATCTATGTGTTTCATTTCATAGAGACATAACTTGAAAATGTTACCAGTATAGAAAAAAAATGGTAGCGCCTAAAATTGTATTCTTAGGAGGTTCAAAAGTGTAGGAAGGGGTAGTAAAGAATTTGAGTATAAGTTTAAGCTCTTAGACGTTCAGGGCATATAAATGTTGAAAATATGCCGCACAGCCCTATATTTTGACCTTTGAACAAAATAGTAGTGCATATCAACTCTCCGTTTTGGGATATAATTTTTCACGAAACTTCCTAGTAAAAGTGGCACAGTTTTAGCCGCAAAGGGAGTTCCTATGGGAAATTGTATTGTCTATATTTACAGAATTCCGGTTAAGGTGCAAATATCATCTAAAGACTAACGGACTATAGGATTTAAACAACTACAAGTCACTACCCGGCCTTCGGCAATAAGCAAACAAAACCTTACCTTTAACTTTTGTATCATTAACATTCCAATACGTCAATTACTTGTGAATTGCTTACTAGTATAACATCGACAATGTTGGTTAGACGTCATTGACATAAATATTAGAGTGTAATTAATAAAACATGTCGTTATAGTAATGCTTTTAATTGTACTTGTGTTACTGCACCAGATGCGCATTCCGAAAATGAATGTCTCTTCAATGATCCTCGAGGCCCAGATATTTGTAAATATATTTGCCGCCTTTCTACAGGTTTGAGCGTCTCTCTATCTTTTATTTAGTTTGTATGTATGTATTTTTGAATTGTTTTACATTTCTTTCTATAAAAACATATCATTCTTTGTGTGAACATCGTTGGAAAATATTGGTATCGATGTTCAATTCTCGAAACAGTGGCATTGGACAGATATCATATAACAACATCTATAGACATTCTATACGTTGTATCGTTATTGGAATTGGTTACAGCGTATTGTCCTCTATATAAATTCAGACCGGTACTACATATGGGTTCATTCTTGTCTTTTATAATTATACTTTCAAATCAGCCCTAATACGGATAAATCAGAATGTGCAATATTGATTACGTCACCCTGTTTTCGGCGTGGTCCATCATATTTTAAAGTGTTTATCATATTTTCTAACTTAGAATGGAATTCTATTTGACTGTCATACAAGTAAGAGGTTTAGCTAGCTATAAAACCAGGTTTAATTCACCATTTTCTTCATAAGGAAATGCCTGTACCAATTCAAGAAGAGGACAGTTGTTTTCTATTCGTTTGATGTGTTTGAGCTTTTGAATTTGGAATTTGATAAAGGACTTTCCGTTTTCCTTGGAGTTCGGTGTTTTTGTTATTTTACTTATTAAAATAACATATATGAGTTTGAATTGTGTTTTGAAAAACGATTTGAAAACGGAAACACTGCACATCTTTTCCGAGTCTTTCGATTTTTATCAATTTTTTTCTTTTCAGTATACCAATCACGATAATGCTGACGATTTAAATGAATAAGAATTGTTAAACGTTTGATTTATTCTTCATAGCTATTAACAATATAGAATGAATTGTATTTGCATAAATTACGTATTTTGATGAGAAATTAGAAATCTCATTAAATTGACAAAAAATGCATCGCGACTGGGAAAAGAAAAATTACATGTTTGTTTCTAGGAAGATAAGCATCAGAAAAAATCAGACAGTCCTTGTCTTTAAATCTATGAATGATCAAAACAAATTACCAACAAGACACTCTTCTCCGCTTTTGGTCAAATCCATTATTTGGCATATATTTTTAAGTTCCTTCCTACTGGTAATGTGTAATAATTTTCAAGTTGATGTGACAACCTGAGAATGTACTTATTCCACACTATCAAGTTTCAATATGCAGTGAATCGCGAAATAAATCTTTAACCTGATAAAAACGAGGAAACGAACATACGAATTGGCGGACGTACAAACAGACTAATAGACCAATGGACGAACTTCCTAACGGACGAAAGGACAAACAGACCAGAAAACAATATGGCATCTTACTATCGTAGGCTGAGTATAAAATGTATCTTGCTATATTTTCCAATCGAATATTAAATATAACTGTTGAACCGGTTTGGAATTTGTTTCATATACACTTTGTTTTATTTTTCAATAAATAGAAAAAAGAGCATTTTAATGTACAGTACTTAAGGTTTGACGAAAAAATGATAGAACAACATTTTCTGAATAAATTTTGCATAATAGATATTCTTTTGCAAGGTTAATCCCGTATCAGTTCACCGTTTTGTTGTTTTTTTTACTTCTGAAGGTCAAAAGAAGCATTTCTGAAAGATTGATCGTTGAGTTGATTACAGTATCCAGTTCAGGATATTAAAAAAAACGGATTATTAAAAAACAAAAAAATACTCCAGCGATTTTTCTAATTTGTTGGAAGTATTGCTTTAATGAATGTTCGCAAATAGTAAAAACAAACTCGCAGTATTTCATATTTGATACAAACTGAATGTTTAGACGGTCTAATCTGAATACCGACGTTTTCACAGCACTGGGTCGATATCTCTGCTGGTAGACTTTCAGTCTCCGAGGTATCATCAGCTCAGTAGTAAGTACAAACCTTTCTAAAATTGTCCGTTTATAAATTTCGAAATTATAAAGAAACTAAGGTTTCAACTCCCTCAGGCAAAGTTGGCCTCAGAAGGATTTGGCAATTTTTTTTATGTCCTTTTAGGTTACAAAGCTCTTCAACCGTTTTAGTTCTTATACATCATTGGCTTTCAAATATTCGGCTTTGAGCGTTCCAGATGAAGGTAAATCCAGAAGAGCGCTTCGGACGCATGAAAATATTAACGTTTTTGTTTTCATTTTTTCCCAAGTTTCAATTTTTTCTCTGGTTGATAACATTAACATTATCATGATCTTTTTATTTACTTATGTAAAGTTATTTTATAAGATCTGCCTTTATTTTCCTGTACTCTTAAAGTTTTTGGTCTTCGCTTCGAGATAAGCTTGTTTCAGATGTAATCTGAGAAGACTTCTGATGTTCTGCAATAAAGACAGTATGAAAACCTGGTATGAATTTTGACAGAAATAGTTTATATCCTTCTCTGAAATGTCTGTTGGTGAATCCATACAAGATACTGTTCAAGGAACTATTAAAATGTCCAACTTGCATAAATAAGATATACAACCAACTAGGCCATTTGTCTGACCTATCGAAAAATAATGTCAGGTCATATGGTGTCCAGCAGATAAGAAATGAAATGAATACAATAAAAAATGTTCTAGCCAGACGCACTTCATCTTTCCTACATTTCTTATTTCTTTCCTTGCATTTATTTGACATAGCAATTTGTCGCCTGCTTCGACGAACGTACAAATATATCTTCACATAGCAAATTAAGATTAGTAAAAGTGGAATATATAAAGCTGTTACACTTAAGAATATAGTATAACTAAGTGAAATTAACCGGTCGAAAGAGCATCCAAGTGTCTTCAAGTCAAAAGTATGACCACCCCATCCTGTCAAGTTAGGCAGTTCTATCAAAAGGGCTATAAACCACAAACTAGTACACATCAAAATTGTTTTTCTCTTGGTGAAGACTCTTTTATAGAGCTGGAACTTGTTGATCATTATATACCTGATAAAATAGAAAATTCTTCTTAATTACACAGTTAACATTGTTAACATTTTTTCGAACTTTTCGAAAATAAAGGTCTAATCAAACTATAGCTGTTTAGGTTAAGCAGATAATAAATTACTTTGTTTAATGGCTGTAAGTCCAGAATTCCCTAATTTGTATAGAGTTATATTCGGAAAACACATTATGTGAAAAAGAATAATGGGACGTAGATATTCAGCTTACACGTGAGGAGGAAGCTTTTGTTGGGTTTCTTATTATAACATTTGATGATGAATGGTGTTTGCCTAGTCTTTCTACGTAGCTTCACAAGTAAGTTTACAGAAAAATTAATTTATGAAATAGAACAATGGAAGTTATCTCCACTTTAACATCAAATATTGAAATGAATCAAAACGTTTCATTGTATAATTAAAACAAACAAGTATATTCTGTTTTAATAGATATGGGCTTTGTTTCATTATGGTTTAATGAAATGAATATTTGTTAAAAGATGTCGACTAGTATAATAAATAGGAAGAAAAAAAAACTTATAAAATTGTGCGTTCGAAGCACTTTGTGGAGTTATGCATCGACAGATTATGCGTCTCCTGCTCTGCACGCATTACCCGTAATGCAAATCTACGCTCAGTCAAAATGTCGTAAGAAGAAATAGGTCATATTGGCAAATTTATTGATCAGACGATTATTCTGTTATCTAAAGATCTAAGACAGCGAACATTTGTCGCTAGTGAGTTGAGACACAGACACAATGTATTTGTAAACCAATTCGTGATGGTGACTGTAAAACTTATGGAATGTCGATTCCAGTCGTTTTTCTTATAAATATTTTGGGGCGGTTTTGTGTCAGGGGTGTATCCCTTTTAATAAAGTCCATCTAGCGTAACCATGCACGATCGTAACGTTGTAATTGAGTTATGTGGGACAGATGGTATGTTAATGCTGAGATATTTTGACAATTGGAATTTAAATCATCACGTTTGCCATATATTCAAGTTTGAATCGTCCATGACTGACAAAATCGAGGAAATATTAGCACTTTAATACGCGAGTAGCTTTATTATCAAAAGGGACCTAACATGAATAGCCATTTTCATCTTAATTAAACTTTGCCTGAGGGAGTTGGAACTTTAATTTGTTAGTAATTTTTAAGTTTATCAGGGGATAGTTCAAAAAAGGAACGTTGCAAGTCATGTAAGTACCGAGGCACTGAGCACTGAGTTGCAGTCCATCAGCACCGGAATCGATCCAGTGCTAAAAAAATTAAAATAACAGTGTTAAATTGATGCGTCCTAAGACTTTGTCTTAATTTACCTCCATCCAAAACCCTCAAACAAATAAAAGTGAAACCAATTATGTTTAAGTCTGTAAATACTTGAGGAGCTATATGACCAAAAGGAACTTAAAAAGAATGGCCAATTCCATATAATATCAACTTTGCCTGAGGAAGTTGGAACAAAATAATGGCCAATTTCATATAATATCAACTTTGCTTGAGGGAGTTGCAACAAAATAATGGCCAATTCCATATAATATCAACTTTGCTTGAGGGAGTTGGAACAAAAGAATGACCAATTCCATATAATATCAACTTTGCTTGAGGGAGTTGGAACAAAAGAATGGCCAATTCCATATAATATCAACTTTGCTTGAGGGAGTTGGAATAAAAGAATGGCCAATTCCATATAATATCAACTTTGCTTGAGGGAGTTGGAACAAAAGAATGGCCAATTCCATAAAGGATCAACTTTGCTTGAGGGAGTTGGAACAAAAGAATGACCAATTCCATATAATAACAAATTTGCTTGAGGGAGTTGGAACAAAAGAATGGCCAATTCCATATAATATCAATTTTGCTTTAAGGAGTTTGAACAAAAGAATGACCAATTCCATAGCAGATCAACTTTGCTTGAGGGAGTTGAAACAAAAGAATGACCAATTCCATATAAGATCAACTTTGCTTGAGGGAGTTGGAACAAAAGAATGAGCAATTCCATATAAGATCAACTTTGCTTGAGGGAGTTGGAACAAAAGAATGACCAATTCCATATAAGATCAACTTTAATTGAGGGAGTTGGAACAAAATAAAATTGAGAATGGAAATGGGGAATATGTCAAAGAGACAACAACCCGACCAAAGAGCAGATAACAGCCGAAGGCCACCAATGGGTCTTCAATGCAGCGAGAAAATCCCGCACCCGGAGGTGGTCCTCAGCTGGCCCCTAAATAAAATTGTGTGCTAGTTCAGTGAAGTTGGACGTCACACTAAACTCCAAAACATATAACTGAACTAAAATTAAAAAACATACAAGACTAACAAAGGCCAGAGGCTCCTGACTTGGGACAGGCGCAAAAATGCGGCGGGGTTAAACATGTTTTGTGAGATCTCAACCCTTCCCCTATACCTCTAGTCAATGTAGAAAAAAGAAACACATAGCAATACGCACAGTAAAACTCAGTTTAAAAGAAGTCCGAGTCCGATGTCGGAATAGATAACAAAAGAAACTAAGCAAAATGACAATGATACATAAATGAACAAAGGACTACTAGCAGTTACTGATATGCCAGCTCCAAACCTCAATTAAACTGATTGAAAGATTATGTCTTCATCATATGAAAATCAAGTACAATCCCTCCCGTTAAGATCAACTTTGCTTGAGGGAGTTGGAACGTTACTTTAAGTAATTTCAAAACGTATAAGGTGTTTGAAATTATCACTACGCCAAAATATGGTAATATAGTGACATTACTTGAATAACAACGAAAATAGCATCGTAATACATAATTCAATGCGATTGAGTAAAGATATGATAAAACAAATACTGAACTGTAAGTTCGTACAATTTAATTGCATTTCTTTATTTCAGAAAAAAATCTTTGATATAGAAAAAATAAATATCCAACACAACATCATAATTTCGACACACCACAAACTGCTAAAAATCTAAAATAATAAATACAGAGACATGTTTTTGTGTTTCACTTCTCCAACTACCATGATTGATTAATCAGTATGACCTTTTGTCCTGAAACTAGCTTCATAATTTTCAAATTTTAGAATGTTTCAGCCCTCAGCTTATTTTTTTTCTCTTAGAAAATTGATTTTTTAAAATAATTTTAAAAAGATACAATATAATTAATCAAAAGGCAATTTATCTATTTAATAAAAAGATCTCGATATATGTTGACAAAGTATATCAGTTTTAGTCGTAACAGTATAAGAGTTGGGACCTGCCTTTAGTTTTTTTTTTTTTTTTTGTTTTTTTTTTGTTTTGTTTGTTTTTTGTTTTGTTTTATTTTGGTTTTTTGCTTCGTAATATTAATGTTCTTTTTGACCGACAGCTTATGACTAAATTTCTCTGAAAGATCCGTTGGAACTCTTCTTTGGATATATTTTCAACGATACATACGGGTGATTATACATACAACCATAAACGAAAAAATGATATATGTTCTAATTTGTGTGTAACTTGCGCATGTGCAAAGAAAGTGTTATACATGTAATATTTGCTCCCAAAAAAAAATAAAAAATTAATAAAAAAAATGAAAATGAAAATTGATATTTCGACCAAAGTTATACATCTTAAAGTCAAAAATCGTGTTTTGAATGATATTCGATTTGGAGCAAGTTTGCGCAGAAACATCCAGAATTAGTTGATATGATTATACCTACGACGATCCCCTCAGTCAGAGTTGTGCTATAGAGTTTGTTCAAAACGTAGTAGCGGTAAATACCGTTTTCCCAGTCGATGAAAAGTTAAACCTAGTGAGTACTACAGCAATTATTGAACAACAACTAACAATTTTACAAACTCCTAGAAAACGTCAGCTTTTAGAATCCGAAAACAAAGACGAAAGAACCCATCAAAAGAAAAATATCAGCAATTAAATAAATCATATAGTGAAATTGTCAAAAATGGATCAAGTAAAAAAGAAGAAAAAGACACTGGTAAAGTATTTATTGCAGTTGTGAAAATTCTTCTGTTTGACAAGAAAAATAAATCACATGACACCGCCTTAAAGGTCACGCATTGAAACGATGGTCAAGGACGGATTAAAGCTTAAAAAAATTAACATTAAATCAGTTGAACGTAAATCCAATTACAATTAAACTAGACCAGACGTTGTGGTAATTGAATTCGGAGACATAGACAGCAAACGATCTATGGTGAAAGTATAGAAGGGACTAAGAGAAACAGTAAAATACAGATCTGTATATATTGAAAACCACATATCCCACGAAAAAAGGTTGATAGATCGGAACAATTATTATCTGTTGAAAGAAGTAGGGAAGGAAGAGGAGTTTGTGTCAATATCAGGGCGTATCAAGAAACGGAGAAATGTAAATAGAAACGATTCAAATGACAACTACAATCACAACTACAATCAAAACTACAATCGTGGGTCTAGACAAAGAGAATTTTCTGCACGTTCAAGAAATGCTGATGAATTTTTTTATATACTTATGTCTCAAATATACTCTATTCCGAATGGATGTCCATTTTAAATATATGGTGATTTTAACAGTAGGATTGGAAATATAGAGGATTATATTCCAGGGGTAGATAATTTGCCGGAGCATAAAGCTATTGATTTCAAGGCAAATAGCTATGGAGAAATATTTTGTGAATTTTTATCAAATGTTAATTGTTGTGTATTCAATGGTCGTAATCATATAAGTAACGACTACACATATGTATCAGCACGAGGATCATCAGTGGTTGATTATTGTATCGCCCTATTTGAAAATATAACTAGTTTTAAAAATTTTGAAGTCATTCGTGCAACTGTATTTGCAAATTAAAGTTCAACAACAGGATCAATTGAGCTAAAACACATCCCTGATCATTCAGTTCTATGCTTGGAATTGGAAAGTGCAGTATGTGAAAATATCAATAAGCAAAGTTTAAATAGTTGTGATAACAGAACTAATCATGTTGTTTATAATGTGAAAAATATTCCTGATACATGGATGAACGATGAAAATATAATAAAATCTTATTAATTCATGAATTACAAATATAGAATCTTGTAATGGTATTCAATCTGAATTAGACAGTGTAAATCGTGAATTTGTTGATAGTTTGCACAATGAGATGAAAGTTAAGTTAGACAAAAAGATAAAATTTTTACACTGTGTTAATAACAAAAAACGACGTTTTAAAAAATGATGGTGGAATGGTGAACTAACTGTAAAATGGAATCAGGTATGCCTAGCTGAAAAACAGTATTTACATTGTACCAAAATAAACAGTAACACATATTTACGGCAAATCTATGCTAATAAGCGGAAAGACTTTGATAAATTACTCCAAAAAAGTAAACGAAAGTACTGGCATAGTTGTCAAGAAGAAATTGTTAACTTAAACAAAAATAATCAGAGATAAAATAGGTACTATTGGTATTGGCAATGAAAGACAATCGAAAATTCCAGATGAGGTGTTGCTAAATGATGAATCTGTTACAAATTATATGGACGATGCTTTACAAAAATGGAAGAAGTTTTTTTTTGGTTTGTTGAATACCAATACAGATAACAATAAGAATTATGGTGTTGAAACATTAATTGTAAAAAATTATATAGTTTGTAATAATTTAGAGGCTTATATATCTTTTGAAGAAGTTTATAAGGTAGTTGTGGCAGCCAAAAATGAGAAAAGCCCAGGTGTAGATTGTATTCAGGAAGAGTTATGCAAAAATAATACAGTTATTTAGACTTTAACTAAATTGTTTTATAGTTGTTTCAAATTTGGCAAAGTTCCAAACATGTGGAATAAAGGTATTATAACTCATATACCAAAATGCTCAACTGCAGATTCTAGAGATCCTTGATCATACAGGGGTATTACCTTAGCAACTTGTGCATATAAGCTTTATTGTGGAGTTTTAAATAGTAGGTTAACTGAGTGGTTAGATGAAATGGAGATAATAAATGATGAACAAAATGGGTTTATTAAAGGTAGAAGAAGATTAGATCATATCAGTACATTAACATCTTTCATTGAAACTAGAAAAAAATGTAAACTGTCAACTTTTGTATCTGTCATTGATTTTTAGAAAGCTTGCGATTCCATTGATACAATATTGTTATTGAACAGATTAGAAAACCTTGGCGTTAGTACAAAATTTATGTATGCTTTAAAGGCTATTTATTCAAATGTTGAATGATGTGTCAGATTAAATGGTAACATGACTGAATGCTTCAGTATTAATACTTGTTTGAAACAAGGATGTGTATTGTCAACAGTAATGTTTAATACATTTATAAATGATTTAATTGATGATATTAAGTTGATGAACATTCATTGGTATTGATATTGATGGTGAAAAATTACCAATTCTACTTTATGCCGATGACATAGTTTTATTAGAAGAAAATGCTGAAGATTTACAAAAATTGTACATAGTGGTTTTCAGCACAATATCTACACAAAGCTGTTTGATACGATGGTTGGGTCGGCTATAAATTATTGGTCTTCTATCTGGGGCACCAGAAATTGTCATGCATCACAGCAGTGCAGAACCGTGCCATGCAATTCTACGTGGGGAAATATACCTGATGCTGTGTCAGGTGATATGGGTTGGAAGCCACCTTGTGTTAAACAGTGGACATATATTTTTAGATACTGATCAAGATATACAAATATGGAAAATAATAAAATAAATCATAAGGTTTTTAAATGGTCAGTGATGAAAGGCAGTTGTAAATTATAAAATTGGTGTTACAAAGTTATGAAAATTTTGAAATCTTTTGATTTTGTTATAGTATATCTCAATTAGAAGAGAAAATGTTTGATAAATATAGAAAAAAGAGTGGTGTACAAGAATTTTATCACATAGTACTGGTAGTAAATTGAGAACGTATAAACTTTTTAAACATATTTATAACACTGAGCAATTTTTGAGCGTCATCGTAGTTATTTTTCAAGATTTAGATGTGGTGTAGCACCATTAAAAATTGAAACTGGTATGTCTGAAAGGAAAAATCTTAACGACAGAGTTTGTTTTAACTGAAATATTTTAGAGGATGCAAAGCATGTACTTTTAAATTGTCCATTACATGAGGATCTAAGACATGCTATGTTTATTGATATATTGTATTATAATGATATGGTTTTTTTTTTATTTGCCTGATGAAGAAAAATTTATATATCTTTTTAAAAATATCGATATCTGTAATATTGTTGCCAAAACCTGCAATACCATTTTACATCATCAATTGCTCTGTGTAGTATTTTATATATAAATTGGTATAGATTGGATAAATTGGATCTTTCCTGCCTTGTAGAAAGTAAGAGGAAAGGTGCGGCACGTATAAACTAAATGTATTGTTTTATTGTTTGGATAAGAGCAAGAGCACATAAAATGAGATAAAATAAATTGAAAACATCAAAACAAAATCAACAACAAAATTTTAACACTTAAGAAAAAAGCGGGTCAATGACCCAAACGGCTATATGTTTAATCAATGGTCACATCTTTTCAATTGATAAATTTTTTTAACAACCGTGTCCAGATTTCAATGCTATTTTCATTATCAACTTATGTTGATCAATTGTAGACCTTTACGTGAAAGCTATGTTATTTTCATTGGGACTTTGTGTCATTGATTTTACTTATTTGTTCACATGAAACACGAGTGGTTAAAGCGATGTTATATTGAATAACTTTAAAACTAAAAATAAATCAGAAGGGGGAGAAAAAATTAAAACAAATTGGCACTTCTCCTTTGATTACAAACGACGTATGACTTATGGACGTGGGAATTTCCCGTTTCTACTTCAATCGGATTTCCCTTGTACTCTGTTAATGTGAATAAAATATCAAATCGGCAGAATTTAATGCTATTTAATTTTTTTCTCTCTCCCTAAAACCGTCTACGCACACAAAATATTGTTCTGTATGAAAAGTGTTATACCTATTAACAGCAATAGCAGCTAGATTCATCATTGAGCAAACGCAAGCCATAACACATATTATAGATACCATGTGACATAACCAAACGTTCTCTATATATGCTCCTGCCCCATTTATTATTCCTGTAACGAAAATAACAAACACAATTTACATATAAAGCTTTTTAACTAGTGTATATTCTAACATTAGTATGGTTGTTTGATTCTCACATTCTCAGTAAATAAACTGTATTACTGACTTTTTACATCATCTACATTCATTGTACAATGTATCTACAGTCGACAAGTTAATTTACCATTATTTAGATTTATTATACTTCACGTAAAAATGCCATATTTTGATTGGCCAATACGAGGGTGTTAATTTACTCTACTACCCTTCATGGAGACGCTTGATCAAGTGTGCGCTTTATCAAATACGACTCTATCCTATGGCAAATACACTATTACCCTTCACGGAGACGCTTGATCAAGTGTGCGCTTAATTAAATACGACTCTATCCTATGGCAAATACTCTATTACCCTTCACGGAGATGCTTGATCAAGTGTGCGCTTTATTAAATACGGATGGTTGTTATGTACAAGACGTCATAGTTTATTACTTTGAATTTGAAATTTAATCGACAGTAATAACAGAACATTCAGTATAATAAATTAAATAACACATATCTGAGAGGGTGATAGGGCAGATTGTTACCCCTCGAAAAGACATTGTCAACCTTGGTTTCGCCTCAGTTGACAATGTTTTCTCGGGGTAGCAATCTGCTCTATCACCCTCTCAGCTATGTGTTATTTATATAATGTTAACCACGAGGTTGTCCCCATGGTAGTTTTGAAATAAATATACAAAACCAAATGCAGGTAAGATAAACCGGGAAGTCACCGAACACATCCTTTATCCTAATACAAAACTTACCAATATAATTAAAAGGTTCGACAATCAGGATAACAATGAAATCGGCAATTGCTAAATTAACGATAAACATGTTTCCAGTTGTTCTAAGCTTCTTTGATATTATAACAGCCCCTATCACCTGTAATAAAACAAAAAAAGTATCTTAAATCTAAATAACATTCTCGTCTCTCTTTAAGCATTTAACTTTCGACATTTTTTCTTTACTTTTTGTTGTATTACTTACACATTTAGAATAAATTAGTTCAAATGGCGTTTTTGCAAGATCAAAATTTACTAATATTGGACTGATGAATTATGAAGAGAAATGATATATGTTATAGGCAGTGACAGTGGGAAAACCGGTGAGTCGAGAACAATAGGAAAGTATCTTTTCAATCGGTTTAGATGACAAAATCAATAATATGTTATGGAGTTCATGCGATTCCATCAGTTTTTGTTTATAACCTTGATGTGTCCTCTGAATCAATTTATGAGATTTGAACATCGGTAAACAACTGTTGGTTATATTTACGTCTGAAGACCTTGTAATTAAACGTTATTTCGAAACCACATTTATACATTTTTCATAGGTTTTTTTTTAATGAAATTGCAACTTCCTTCGGCGAAGTTGACCTAGATAAATTTGGCTAAGATTTTAAGTCCCTTTAGGTCATATAGCTCCTGACTATTCTACGTATTTATAAATCCGTGTATTTCAAATGTTTAGGTTTCAGTCACCGTTCATGATGAAAGTATCTTCAGAAAGCGACTTGGACGCATGAAATGTATAAACAGTTATTTTCATTTACAAGAACTGGGTCCTCGGGTGTCGTCAGTTCAGTAGCCATTGTTTAGGTACTCACATGATTTATAACATACTATTCTAAATTACCCCGATGATGAATTTTGAAATTATTAAGAAACTAAGGTTTCAACTCCCTCAGCGAAAGTTGACCTTAGAAGAAATTGGCTATGTTTTTATATCCCTTTTGGTCATATAGCTCCTAACGTTTCTGTGTATTTATACATCCCTAGCTTTCTAATGTTTAGTTTTGAGCGTCCCTGGGGAAGGTTAATCCAGACAAGCGCTTTTAGTGTACTATGAATAGTATATTTCACATTGCTAATAAACATACAAATGTTGGTGCCATCGTTGATAATTTAATACAAACAGACAGGAAATACGAAAAACAAATTAAAAGTATAATGATTTAAAAGTATATATCCGCTAACCGAGTGCCTGTAGTTTGAATAAGGTCCGACTGAATTTGCGTAGATTCTTAAATTAGAAAGTTTATATTTCTGCAATTTTGTGGAATTTTTCCCTCAACTTCTCTTGAATAATACATGTACATATACGGAGAATAGAAGTGTTTCTGTGACATCAGTCAGTAGTACACAGCCCAACATTCCCAAAACGTTCGGTAAGAATCAACATCGGGTCATTATCGCAGAAAATGCCTAAGTCATTAATTAGATTATTTAACCTGAATGTAGTTTTTAACCATCAAATACTCAAATGAAATCTGCATGACAATACTTCATTCGTTTTTACCTGCACTTGCTTTTTTCTTGTTTTGTTGTTGATATTGCAATATCTGCTTGCAATTTTTAAATTTATTTAAATTTGTTTAAATTTCCTTTTATTGGTCCACTTATTCATCGTCATTTATCGATCTATTTAATGGTTTATACATAAAATATGTAGATTTATATGAATGGGTAAAAACGGGGAAAGATTAAGTACTTAATTTAAAATTGGTCCCAATTTCGAAAAGTTACAGGTTGACATGTACCGTAAAAAACTACAGTCAGCAAAATATTGCCATATCTTTTGTTACAATTTTGACGTTTGAAAAAAGGATATTTACCAAAACACACAGCCATTAGAGTTGAAATGTTGAGAATTTATTCGCATAGCAATATATTTCAACCAATTTACACAACATTTCTACCGCTGTCCTCACCGTTGTTATAATAAGGAAAGTGATAACATTATATTGTAATTCTATCGTGAATTCATTTTTATATGTTTTTGATCAAACACAAATTATACATGTATGCCTCTCCTTTTTTCTTAAGAAGCATCCTATATGATAGATGTATATGCCTCTTATCTGTCTTTACTTGACGTGAGCTAGCACAATAGTTTGAGATTTTTCATTTAATTAAAAGCACTCAAGGGTTGACTGGGGTATGGAAATCATTCCTAGTCTTCGCCCATGTTAAAGTGGGGCGTCCGTTTGACTGTGTGGGATGTAGAAATAAGCATTCATGTCCGGTCTGAATACTGAAGTTAAATGTCTGCCTTGTGTCGGAAGAGAGTCATGCTTTTGTACGTTAAAGAAACTAGCAACAATCCTCTGAGTGGTCAGTTAAGTGCATGTTGCAAGTCAAAACAAATTCTGACCTATTCACAAAACTTTCATTTATATTTTCTAGTAATGGACCAAAATTCCCGCCCTTCATATCTTCGTATTAATTGTTGCTTTGTTTTTGTCCCGAATATGAATGAAATATTTGCCGCTGCACTGAAAGCAAGCCCCATTCAATCAATCAGAATTAAAAACAATCTCTTCAAATTTTAATCTTTTTAATCATCGGCCTTAGATATTCCAACTAGAAAAATTTCACATCAACTGATAAAAGTGTATAAAAAGCATATTTTAGCCTTTTTATATTACTGCTCGACAGAGATTTATATTGGTTTCAGATGATGAATATAAAACCGCTCTTTGAAATTAATTAACATTTTAATGTGGTGTTTTGGACAACTAAAGACAAGTGAAATCCTATTTTCGTCGTTTTCACATTTTCCATTCCAGAGTTATCATCATTTCTCTTTGGTTTCCAAATGCATATAATAAGTAGAGAACCGCTTTTTGAAATGAATTGAAATTTGGTGGAATGTTTTGGACCACTAAAGATGACCGCCCAAAAAATATTCATGAATTTGGCAGGAAGCATTTCATTCCAAAATTTGCAGTAAAAAACGAGTATTTTCAGAATATCTTTTTCTATGTGCAGTATTATTGTATGTGATGTTGCTGTAATGCATCTGAACACAATAACCAATAGCTTGATACTTTATAGTCAACTATAAATACCGTTAACAGACAAATCTCATTATTTACTAACAAACGGGAAGTACATCATATTTTCAGGAAATGACCGACCTGTCCACTAAAGCTTATTTGTTCATCTTTGAAGACTTGTAAGTGACACACATTACATGTATCATTGTATCATGTGATATACATCAGAAGAAGATAAAAACCAACAGATTTTTCAAGTGATATCACGGTACTATGTACATGAAAATAATATAGCTGCACATGCAACTAACCAATCTTTACGTTATTATGTTCAAAAGAAACAAAACAGCAAGAGAAACATTGGCGGATCCGGGGGGGGGGGGGGGGGGGGGGGGGGGGGGGGGCCGGGCCCCCTTTCGTGGGGAAAATTTGGTTGATTATATAGGGAATCACTGAAGCATGACTGGAGCGGGCCCCCTTAGGTCAGTCAGCGAGCCCCCCTTATGAAAAGTTCTGGATCCGCCACTGACTGAAACATTTGTATGATGTCATCCTTTACATTAAGTCAAAGAGGGCTTTTGTGTGAATTTGCAACCAAAACGACAGAGACAGCAAAAATACTTACTTGTAGCAATAACACTCACAAATATTTAAAGAATAACAATATTATTATGTTTCCCGCTGTCAGAATTTCAACAAAAATGCAAGGGTTACAAAATTATAAGTCCAATAGTGCCATTCTTAACACATTTTCTAATTACATACATGTCAGTCAATTTTGAAGATAAAAACCAAGCTGATATGCAGCAAAGGACTCAAACGATAAACATATTTAATTAATGTCACTCACTTAAGATTTCTAAATTAACTTTCTGTTAAAAAAAACACCTGATATATAACACGAAATTCAAATGATGTAATATATAAATCCGGCATGCAATTAGCCGTAGACTATTCATTTCGAATATCTTAACCACCTGCATAGTGTCAATAGAGTTTGATCTATTGTTTCAACTCATGTCCATGAGGACCATCATTAAACTTCGACAAAACAATCCACATTTAGTGGTCAGAGACTGTACAGACTAGTAAGTAGGCTTCAGAATAATTTGTTTGTGTACGGTGACAACGTGATGGTGACATGTCTTTCAGATAATTTTTACTTTATAGGGTAGCCCGTCGTTTAAAGAACGAAATTATTCATGTAACATTACGACTGTATCGTGTTGAAAATGCATGAATATTTGCCACTGGACGTTAAGTAACCATCCTCAGCAGCCATGATTAATTCAATCAACAAAACGAATGGTTGATATTTGATATATAAACCTAAGCTTACATTCTGGTTGTTTAAAAACAAGATAAATACCAAAACCAACATGTCTATATTTCAATGTTTTTCGTTCATTATTTTGTACATAAATTGGGCCGTTAGTTTTCTCGTTTAAATTGTTTTACATTTATCATTTCGGGGCCTTTTATAGCTGACTATGCGGTATGGGCTTTGCTCATTGTTGAAGGTCGTAAGGTGACATATAGTTGTTAATTTCTGTGTCATTTGGTCTATTGTGGAGAGTTGTCTCATTGGCAATCATACCACACCTTCTTTTTATATGTCTATATTTCAGATTCGAAAATAAAATTTTAGAGGCTCCCAGGAGCCTTAATTGCCATGATGACAAAAATATTTATTTTCACACGTGATCAAAGGAGTATGGCCACGAAGACCTTAAATTGGCCATAAAATCAAACTTTGTTATACCATATGTAAAACCTATATTTACCATCTTAAATATGCAAATTGAAATAAACTAAACACTGTTGTTGTATGTGCGGTTCGTTTTCACAATGTTGACAATTTCAAAGTGTGGTGTTTTACAAGCTTTTAGCTAGATTGCCTATTTTTCTGCATTAGTAAGATTTATTCCCTTCTGAAAAACATTGGCCACACCCTTCGACCAAAATAGAATTGTTATAAAAAGATGTATATGAATGGTGGTCTTTGCATGTGGCCAATTTGTTTGAAGCAAAAACTGTTCAAATTTAGGCAAACATTGGTCAAAAGTATTATATTCTTCATAAGAGGGCATAATTATGACGCCATAATGACGTCGCAATAGTTCTAATGCGTCAGAACTTGTTGAATTCGAGTTTGTCAGATATTTTTTACAAATGTTGTCATCAAATTTTTGTTTTTATTACTAAAGTTATATTTCACGGAATTTAAGGACAATATCAAATATTTTGTTTTCAAATGTAGACCTTCAACTTTTTGAGAATGTTCAGGTGAAACCAAATCCCAAAAATATTGATTTCGTCAGTGCCAGGATAACATACATAATGGTGCTTAGCGGGCTGATATGAAAAATTTATCAACTGCTTCCGTTTATTATCGCATGCCTTTCCGTAACGTTATCGCATGGCATTTCGACGTCACGCGACAAATTCCGGAAAATACACATCAATGGTACGTTTTCAGTGAAAAACACAACAAAGTAGGATACAAAACAAATATTAAGAAACGGGAAAATATATTATGTAAAATGCAAAACAATTGATATGATAAAAAAGTTTTAAAAATAGCTGTTCTCTGCTGAAGTATATGATAAAAATATATTATACTGTTGTTTTTCTCCTCTGTTGAGGCATATGATAGAAAGATTTCATATCGGATGTATTACATTTGGCGTCCGTCGTCCGAATATTGTTCACTTTTTGAACTTCTACTTGAGAACCACTTAAAAAGATCATTATATTAAACTGTTATTTTTCTCGAGTCTTTGGCTCTTGGGCTGATATTGAACCTTGGGCTG